ACAGATGCAAACATGAAAATTAAAACTGCGGTCTGAGAAAATGGAAGGTAGTGGACGTGTGCCAAGGTATGTGAAGGAATGCTATTGCAAAGTCAGAGGATCCCAGGAAATGGAGGAAGGACAAGTGTGGAGACAGCAGAGGCCTGTGGGCACGTGAATCCACTTGGAAGCTGCACATGGGAAGCAGCATTGACCCCCACTTCTGGACGGAGCCTGGTCCCTGTGCATCAAAGCCCTGGGGGCCTGGACCTTTGTCCCTCCTGCCTAGTCCCTGCAGAATGGGTGGAGCTCCCAGGACAGACACGTGCCACCTCAGATGTTGCTGAAAGTAGGTAAAGGGTAGAAGACCTACATCAACTTCATGTAACGGCACAGAGCAGAGTGAGCAGAGTTAGTGATGAGATGAGATTTCCTATGGGAGCAAGTGTGATGTTGTAGAGTCAGAGAATATGAAGGTACTTTAAGCTGTCTATAGTTGTTGGAAAATCAGAGCAAAGGGAGGAATTGAGGTGTGAGAACCCAGCTTAGCCTATAAATTAAACTTAGTTAAGAAAGAAATATCATAAAGCATCATGAAATGATTTTAAGTGAATTCCTCCTAGAACTTAATGCCCTCAATGTGCCATCTCCCAGCTAAGGACCACACAGCGTTCTGAAACATTTAGACCTCTTCAGTTCCTGCCTCAACACCTGCCCTCACTCACCCCTGCAGACACTGCTGGGGTGGGGGGGACCAGGACCCTCTTACCTGCCTCTTGAGTGGGGTGTCCCTTTGAGGCTTGAGGGCTTCACCCAGCGTGGTTTGAAGAACATGTTGGTTGGACACACTTGACCACCTGGCTTCTGATCTAACTGGCATCTCGTGCCAACTCTGCACATCACCTATACAGTGATAAGAGGAGACCATTCTCAGAAGTCTTTTTTTTTTTTAAAGATTTTATTTATTTATTTGAGAGACAGAGAGAATGAGAGAGAAAGCACATGAGATGGGGGGAGGGTCAGAGGGAGAAGCAGACTCCCTGCTGAGCAGGGAGCCCGATGCGGGACTCGATCCAGGGACTCCAGGATCATGACCTGAGCCGAAGGCAGTCGCTTAACCAACTGAGCCACCCAGGCGCCCCCATTCTCAGAAGTCTTATCTCACAAGGGGTGGGTGCCTTGGAGCCTGATAACAGGGGCACACATTCTGCCAAGGACGGAAGAGAGCAGGGACCTGCATTCTTCAGTGACAGATGATGGAGAGTTCTGCATGAGCGATTTCCAGCAGAAATAGCACCTGAGCCAGGGAGGGGGGTTGAGAGAAGGATTCATTCCCCCATGGAAATAACAGTAATCTTCCTATGCATACGCAGTCTCTCATCACTGTGATGGCCCTGCAGATGGCCATAATTATCCTCATTGTATGAATAAGGAAATCAAGCCCCAGCACCATGTGATGTATTTCAAATACAATCGACCAGCATATGCAGGAGTGGAGACTCCAGAACATACACCTGATTCACTCCTCTCCTGGAAACACAATCAGAAGACCTAAGAATGGAATCCTTTTCATTTTCCCAAGGTGGAGGTCTGATGTAAAGAGAGCCCTATAGACTATCCTAGAGTCTAGGGGTCAGAGAAATGTGGTAAGAATTCAGATCTAGGGATGCCTGGGTGGCTCAGTCGGTTAAGCGGCTGCCTTTGGCTCAGGTCATGATCCCAGGGTCCTGGGATCGAGTTCCACATTGGGCTCCTTGCTCCGCGGGGAGCCTGCGTCTCCCTCTGCCTCTGCCTCTCCCCCTGCTTGTGCTCTGTCTGTCTCTGACCAATAAATAAATAAAATCTTAAAAAAAAAAAAAGAATTCAGATCTAGTCATGGTGCCCAAAAACAAGCTGAAAACCACACACTGTCCTTGTCTGAGGAAACTAGGGTTTTTGGCACCTGCAAATAAACATCCTGAGCTGTACCCCATTCCACACCCAGGAAATTTTAAACAACTTTATGAAGATGTAATTCACATGGCTGCCATATAGTTCACCTATTTACTATGTACAATTCATTGGCTTTCCTATATTCACAGATATGTGCAAACCTCACACAGTCAAATTTAAAACACTTTCATGACTTCAAAATGACACCCCATTACTCTTCAACTTTTGTTGCATTTCCCCACCTCCACCGTCTCCAGCCCTAAACAACCACTAAGCTACTTTCTCTGTGGGTTTCCCTATTCTGGACTTTCATATGAATGGAATCGTGTAGAATGTGGTCTTTTGTGGCTGGTCTTTCACTTGCCATGATGAGCGGCTCCTCTTTTATGCTTTAGAATTTCCCCTACTCAGCATCTGTTCAGTCACCCCAAGGACATTTCTATTTTGGAGATGCCATACTTGTATCCATTTTAGTTTCCTGTTAGAACCCAGTGGAAACAGTCATGACTTTAGAGGCAGACAGGCTGGGCTTGCATTTTGACTATTCTGCTCATTCTCTGTGTGGCCCTGAGCAGGAACCCTCAGCTGTCAATCTCAGGGTACTCATTTAACCCTGTGGGCCTAATTCCCACCATGCGGACTGTTTGCAAGGGTCAGAGTGGTATTTCCCACAGGTTGGAATATGAACCACAGGTGCTCAAGGAGATGATTTTAGGCAACACAGTGACACAGTATCCTATAGCTTTGATCACAGCATCAAAAAGTTATTACCCTTTCAATCAAACCCTTCTGATTACATCAAGGAGAGATCATTTATGGCATACTTTAGAACAACTTTATCTCTGGCTCATTGCCCTTTATAGCTAGGAAGTGGTCAGCCATGGGCTCAGAAACCTGAAAAGAGCATAAGGCTAAAATGTCCTAACATTTTCTGCCTTTCCATAGTATTATATATTTGTATTAATTCTCCTTTATCAGGGAGGTGACACTACATTATTAAACTATTGCTAAGTAGTTTCCATTTTCAAATAAATACCTTTATTTAAAGAAAAATATTGACTCACTGTCAGTAAATTATTAAGTAAAGGTGGTGTAGGCATAGCATACCATCACAAATGTGAATGTACATATTTGAATATTGGCAAAAACTTGAGTGGTGGATGGATGTAAAGCCTCCAGCATGGGTCCTGATGTGTGTGAAGCAATCAGTAAATATAAATTGACGTTATTTCTTTGGTATTCTTCATATCTCTTAATCTGTCAGTCCACCCTCATCTGGAACCCCAGCACACCATCCTAAGGAACTTACCAAAGCAGAGGAAGGAAAGGAGTTCCAGGGTCATACTGGCCCTGCAGCCTGCTCTAAGGTTCCCTCTTCAGCTTTGCAACCATGGGATGGAGGGAAGCTCAGTGTGGGCAGTGACCTCTTTCCTCCAGCCTTTCCCTTCTTTCCTCTCACATGACCCACAGGTTTTGTGTCACACCTACATTCAGGAAATGAAAATAATATGACATAAAACATTCAGAAAATGACAGAATTTTAAAGATGGAGAACAAGCCAGTGGTTGCAGTGGTGTTGGGGAGAGAGGTTGGGTGTGACAGTAAGGCACACCGTAAGGAACATCTTAATGGTGATAGACTACACCAGTATGTTGATTATACCAGTGGCCAGATGAATCTAAATGTGATAAAATGATACAGAACCCTACACACTGTACTAGGGTCAACTTTTTGGTTTTGATATTGTGATGGACATACAATGGAACCACTGGAGAAACTGGATGCAGGGTGCAAGTATCTATATTGAGTTTGCAACTTCCTGTGAATCGAATGATTTCAGAATAAAAGTAGGATCTGATTGAAGAGGAAACACAGTCTAAAGTAGACATGGGCAGTCACACATTAGGGAGCAGGAACATCATGAAGGCTCTTCCATACATGGCCAAGGCAGATACTGCAGCAAGAAGTGGTTATAGACTGAGCAGCTGGTGTCTGTCTGATGTGCCACCCATAAGTCCAGAGTTCTGTCCATTTTGACCACTCTTGACCAAGTAGCAATGAAAGGGGTCTATTGTCAGGAGGAACCATGAGTTTTACTACTCATTACTACTCTACTCTGATCAGAACTGGGTTTTTGTAAGTGTATTTCCCGGGTTATAAGAGAGGAGATAACAGTTCTAGAATAAGAATGAGTATTTGTGAAAAAGAACAGGATTATTAACAAACAACAGATCTTGAAAATGAAAATATTGGAGGATAACACTTTACACCTGCACCAGAAGATGAAGACCCATTGGGTGCACCTCAGGAGCAACTTGATGCTGTGAAACTGAGAGGAAGTCTCCCCAAATTAGATAAAATGTTGGGACTATGTGAAATAAAATTTAAGACATGTGTGATAAATACAGAAATTTAAATACTTGACTAATTGCTGGTCCAGAAGCACAAAATAGAGAACGGGGAGAAGTCGATAATAAATATGCAGGAAGCAATGTTTTCCCCACTTTTCAATGGAACAACAGTTCCTACAGAAGTTACTACACAGGTTACCCAGCCTGACTCTGAAGCTTTAAGTATTTTTTCAAGTCATCCAAATTTATTAGGTGTGTCTTTATTCTCCAGCCTGTCCTCTGCCCCAGGTGAAGCTACAGCAGGAGAGAAGCCATCTCTTGTCCTCAAGTGGTTCTTCATAGAGCTAAGAATGCAGGTTCCATGGGACTGTTAAGAATCAGCAGGGCTGGGGCGCCTGGGTGGCTCAGTTGGTTAAGCGACTGCCTTCGGCTCAGGTCATGATCCTGGAGTCCCGGGATCGAGTCCCACATCGGGCTCCCTGCTCAGCAGGGAGTCTGCTTCTCCCTCTGACCCTACCCCCTCTTGGGCTCTCTCTCTCTCTCTCACTCTCTCTCTCTCTCAAATAAATAAATAAAATCTTTAAAAAAAAAAAAAAAGAATCAGCAGGGCTCTCCACCGACATTCATCCTTCCCTGGGCAGCCAGGGGCATGTGGGTAGTACAGACCTGAGGTCAGGAGAGGGAGGAAGATGAATATTATTTCCCTGCCCTCCTAACACAAGCTCTCCACCAAGGCAACACCACCCCACTCCCATCCTCCATATCTAGGGGTCCTGGAAAAAGTACAGTAGTACTTGCTTGTTATCTTCTTCCACAATGACTGGGGCTTCAACTGCTCTTTAATGGGAAAGAGGAACGGTGCTAAATGTTCCCACAATGAACAGGACAGTCCCATATGGTGAAGAAATATCCCACCAAAAAGCCATCTGTGTGCATGTTGAGAAACACAAAAAGTCCCATGGTAGAGTTTGGTGTTTAGAGAACCCCGTGTCACTACACCAGCCCATGAACAAGAGAGGCGCTCAGCTGTTTCATGTCGATCCACGTGGAGACTCCTTCTGGCTGCACCAGGCTTCCACCATGAGAGCCCCCATGATCACCACAATTATGGCAGCCAGACCCAGTCGGATGAGGTTGCCCATGATGTAATCCCCCGACGTGGCATCTGGGGGAGCTGAAAGAGAGAAGAGGGTGAGCACCAGCTGGAAAGGAGCATCCCTCCTTCTCACGCGGATCTGCCCAACGTGACTCTCCTGCACCTGCTTGTGTTTCCTGGACAGAGGTCAGCTGTACCTTCACTGACGTTGTAATCACTCAAAACACACGTGACATTTCCTGAGAGTTGTAGTGGGTCTTCCTTTGTCTCCTTTCTATTCGTTCTGCCGTACCGCTCTTCCTTCATTTCTTTGCTCTTCATCTCATTTCCTGCCTCCCACACTGCCCTTTCCCCCTTCTCCTTCCTTGTAGTAGGAATCAGGCTTAGGAGCAACCCCAAAACCCAAAGGTGCTGCACGGAGAATGAAAGTAGTTCAGGGCTCCGTCTGCTCCCCTCCTCAGAGCAAAGGCTTAGTGCAGCCAGTGAGCTCAAGAAAATTCAAGCTTAGTAGCTGAGCATCGGAACCACCAGGCATTTCATTTCAGCTTCACCCAAGAAGAGTTAGGGCTCACCACTGGCCCTGACTCCTAGACAGAAACTGTACTTGAATCTTCCAGCTCACACGTGCCATGAGTGCAGAGTTCATGTCTGAAGACATCAGCAACAATGCTCCCTGGAGACATAGTCCACGGGGAGAGACATGTGATGACCCCACCAAGCCCAGGATGCCCTCTGCATCCCTCAGCAGCCCCCGCCCGGACCTTGCTTTCCAACTACAGAACGTTCGCTAACCATAACACACACGCAAACATTTACACCACCGAGGAGCAGGGTGTAGCATCCAATGAAGCAAGAAGATCAGTTTAGAAGATACCACGTCTATGCCAGAAAAGTGGGCGGCTGGGGGAGCACCGTGTTCTAAGAGTGAGAAAGGTACCGCCATGAAGTTGCCATCAGCAGGATGTCCCACAACTCTAAGTGACGCCCAGGGTGGCAGAAGGGGCTCTGGTGGTGGCGGGATGGATCGTTTGGAAGAACAGCCTGAGACATTCTCCAAGAATGCAAAGCAACAAACACCAAAGACTAGAAACTAGGAAAGGAGAGATTAAAAAGGAGATGCTCGGGAAAGTGAAGGAGAAACAGGAATCAGAAAGTAACAGAAGAAATGCTCGCCAGTTTAAAAAAAAAAAAGACTCACACCTTAAACTAATACAGTGTTATAAGTCGGTTATAGGTCAACAAAACAGGAGAAAGAAAATAAATAGCCAAAATAAAAACAAACTCATGAATTAATTAATTAAATTTTTAAAACGTCCTAAGAATCATGCAAAACTTCACCTGTCACCCGGATCTCAAGATGATCACTAGGCTGTGAGGTCAGGAAGGGAGGCCTCATCAGAAAGTACACACAGCTGTAGTTCCCGGCATCACTGACTGTCACAGTCTGGAGGGAGAAGTCCGTCTCCTTCCCTGCAGGACTCTGGACCCGTATGGGCTCTGCTGCCCCCGCCTTCAGTAGAGCGAACATTACAGGCGCGAAAATATTGTCTGGCCTCTGGCACTGCAGGGTCACGGTGTCTCCTGCGGTCACCTCACCCCTTTGGTGGGCTTGGAGGGAAGGTTTTGTTAAATCTCCTGGAAGAGAAGGAGGGCTCCACGGTCATGGGGAGAAGCCCGGGGTCCCCCACCCTCCCTTGTTCTCCTGGCAGGGGTTCCCGCCAAGTGGGCGAAAATGACAGATCCCTGGTCTCACCCTCTTTCCACTCTGACTGTGGGAAGATTTCCCCAACAAGCCCTGGATGAAGCTGAGCCAGGTCATTCTGTTCTGTGTTTCTCCATCTCCCCTCGTTCCCTCCCTCCCTCGGGCTCCTCCCGCACACCTGTCCCTGCAAGACCCTATGTCCCTCCGAGGCACCTCCTCACCTGTCACCAGCAGTAGGAGGACGTCACTGGGCCGCGAACTTACGTACGGGCTCCCTAGTCTGTAGTACTCACAGCTGTACTCTCCAGCATTGTCGGTTTTTAGGTCAGTGAGGTGAAATTCAGCCAGGCCCTCTGTGGAAGCCTGTGATTGCACGGACTGCAGTGGAACTTTTCCCTTTCTGAGAACAAAGTTGACATTCTTGGTAGACGTTTGGCACTGCAGTGTCACATTACTCTTGTGAGGCACCACCGAGCTGGGCCAGGCCCTGAGGGAGGGCTTGGGAAGGGACTCTGGAAGGAAGCAGATTTGGGGACAGGATTTGGTGCCCTCGTCTGCTGTCAGGAAGCCCCTTGAAGGAAAGAGACAGGACACGGGGACTTTGGAGTGAAGGGGAGGGAGGGTCTGACTGAAGGAACTCACCGTCAGTTGTCCTGCTTCCTTGGCCGGCACACAGCCCTGCGGGAGAACCGTCCATGAGACCTGAGCATCCACCTGGAGCCCCGTCCTGAGGGGCCTCCCCGGGGGCTGCTGCTGAGCTCGGACCCTGGAGGTCATGCATCTGGGGCTTCTCATTTCCCCACACTGGACTGTGGCTGCAGCTGTGTTGTCGGCTCCTTCCCCACTCTCCCAGAAGGTCTCCTGTGCGGCTCACTCCTCCCACAGCCCCAGGACCTGTCCTGGTTCCGCAGATGTTTACAAGCCCCTCTCTTCTCAGCTTCTGTCCTGAACCACTCTCAGTCTTGCATTTCTGTCAAGCTGACGTTACCGTCTGTGGACCCCCCCACTTCACCCTGGGGGCAGGAACCATGAGCAAGATGTTGTGGGAGCACAGGACTTAAATGTGACCCTAACCCACCTCTGAAGTTATTTGAGACCCTGGGTGGACCCGAGGGTCTGCTGACAGTCTCGCCTGGGCCAGAAGAACCCTCCTGCTGAAGGCTGCTTGGTGCTTTGACTGACATAAACTAAGATAGATACCCTTAGTTTGTAATTAAGAGAGCTCAGAAGCTATGGACCTCATACCGTGGGAGACACAGGATGTCACTGCCTGTGAGCAGTCAAAGGCAGAGACTTTGTGAACAATCCCAGCATCCCCACTGTCTGTGCACGTCCTGGCACATAGTAGGACCTCAACAAATGCACACTGACCGGCTGACGAGATGCCCCGCGTAATCACAGCTCAGCTTTTATAAGGATGAGAAAAGATGCAACCTCACCCTAACTTCCCCATCTTCCTCCCACCAGGCCAGCTCCATTTCCAGACCTCACCAGGTCACCCATGTCCACTTGTGAGTCAGGATTGGCTCAAAGATGGAGCGAGCTCTCTCCCTGGACGAGGCTAGTTAAGTCAACCTCAGCCTTTAATCTGATGACTTTCTGATCCCATCTTTGCCATAATGTCTTTTCATCTTTTGGTGTTCCAACTAGGACAGAGGTTACTGCTTGGTCCTCTAAAACAAGCCTCAAAGAATCCACATGGATATCCCAGAAAGGGGAAAACCTACCTCCTCCCCTGTCCCACACATGGGTCCATCTGTAGGGTACCCCAACTCAGTTGTTCTCAACCTTGGCTTCACATTGCATTTTCCTAGGGGGCGGGGGCAGTTGAAGATCCCAGGGCACAGACCAAACCACAAAAGCCTTGAATCACAATCACTTGGGTTAGGGCTCAGGCACCAAACTTTTGAAATCTCCTGGGTGATACAAGTATTCATCTGAGTAACCAAACCTAGAAAAACATTTCTCAAGACTGTAGCATAGATATTTGAAATCTGGTGGCATAGAAAGAAACTTGCAAGTGATGATAGTGGTTATGTGCATCTCTGACCAACACAGACATCCTGCCATTATTACCCAAATGTGGTGGTTACAGCTTGCCTGAGTTCTAAGATCTCTTTAAAAATAACATCAAGCCTGTTTACAGAATTTATTGGAAGAGAGAGCTTGCTCTAATTCCACAGACTGATTGGATCTGTGTTTCTAAGAAATTTACTTTTTTTTTTTTTTGCCTGTGTGAAACAGTTTTGTGTCTTAGTAGTGAAAAGGGGGGAAGTTACCAGGCCCTTGTGCTAAAATTGCATAGGCCAATCAAAAATATTACACTCCATGTTTTGGAAAAGAAAAGTGATAAATAGCCAAAAGGTGAAAAGACCCAAGTGTCCACCAGAGGATACATGGATAGAGACCAGGTATGTGGTCTCTGTAGACAGGGGAATATTATTATTCCATAAAAAGGAATGGAGGGGCTCCTGGGTGGCTCAGTCGTTAGGCGTCTGCCTTCTGCTCACGTCATGATCCCAGGGTCCTGGGATCAAGTCCAGCATTGGACTCCCTGCTCCGCGGGGAGTCTGCTTCTCCCTCTGCCTGCATCTCCCCCCTGCTTGTGCTCACATGCTCTCTCTGACAAATAAATAAAATCTTTTTCTTTTTTTTAAGGAAAAGGTTAATCTCACTGACGTGAGGAAGATCAGGAACCTTCAAAAGGTGGAAACAAGCCAGGTGACCACCGACAGGTGGGTGGATAAACAAAACGTGATCCATATATAAGCAGAATAGTACTCAGCCATAAAAAGGAATGAAAATCTCATCCACGTGCCCAGGGAAGATCTCTGGAAGGGATGCTAAGTGGAATTAGTGCCTAACTCAGCCAGAGGAGAATGAATGATGCAAGGAATAATAAACATAAAAAGATCATTTTTGGAGCATGGACTGGCCACGCATGCTTGAACCTGGTTATGAAAGTAATTCTGAAAGACGAGGGAACTTGTAACTACGGACACACGTTCCCCAAGGCCCCACAAGGACTGTGTGCGGGAGCAGAGTTCTCAGAACTCAGTCCTGTGTTCTCTCTCAACACAAAGAGGTGTGTCTTCCCAAGGCAAGCCTCTGATGTTAGGGGTGCTCTAGGGAGGAGCCTGAAGTCTTGGGATCAGAGAACCATGGTGGTTAACAGGAAGACTAGTGCAGAGGGCCACGCGGAGGCGAGTCCTCCTTCCCTGACGTTTTGTGGATATCAAGCTTTGTTGGTTTCTGGAAACCAGTTCATTCTGAGGTACAATTCTAGCATTCTGAAGCACTCCTGTCTACCTCCTCAGGCTTTTTTCAACCCCAGAATCCTTTCAGACATGCCTAGAGTGCTCCATACGATGGACCCTGTGGATCTGTCCCTCTTAATTTAACATCGTGGCTGAGTGGAAGTGTTTTTGGAGCTCAGCAGTCTAGGTTGAGATTTGGCTTCCCTTTGAGATTGGCACAGGTGGTAAACCTGTGCAGTCTGAGGCAAATCTCTTCACTTTGCAGACTCAAATTCGATTCCTCATCTATAAAAGTGGACCTCATTCTCCCTTGCAGGTTTTTTTTTTTTTTTTTGGGGGGGGTGGATCAGAGTGGTATTTCCCAAATGTGGAATACATCCCATCTGTGTTATGTGTGATGATTTTAGGTGGAAGAAAAGACAATCAAAACACGACATGGGGGCACCTGGGTGGCACAGTTAAGCATCAGATTTGGCTCAGATCGTGATCTCAGGGTTGTGGAATCGAGGCCTGTGTGGCGCTCTGTGCTCAGGGTGGAGTCCGCTTGAGATTCTCTCTCTCTCTCTCTCTCTCCTTCCCCCTCTCCCCTCCACTCTTGCGCACGTGCACAAGCACACTCACTGTCCCTCAAATAAATAAATCTTTTTTACAAAAGCACTACATGATCTCATGCAGTAAGCACTGCTGTAGAGTTTCTCATTATGTCACCAAGAAAGCTTATTGAAGCTAGTCTCTGATGTATGTGGATTGTGGCTAATTACCTTTATTTTATTTTATTTTAAGATATTATTTATTTGTCAGAGAGAGAGAGAGTACAAGCAGGGGGAGTGAGAGAGGGAGAAGCAGGCTCCCTGCTGAGCAGGACTCAATCCCAGGACCCTGGGATCATGATCTGAGCCGAAGGCAGACACTTAACCGGCTGAGCCACCCAGGCGCCCCGTGGCTAATTGCCTTTATAGCAAAGAACTAGCAGGTCTCAGGCTCAGAAGCTTGATGGGGACCAGTGTATAGTTACAATATTCTAACATTGTCTCCTTATCACTGCATTTACTTTATAGTTCTTGTATTTGACCTGGGTTTTTATTCATAATGTGGAGAGTTTGTATTGTAAGCACTTTTCTTTAAGCAAAAAAAGCTGAGTCTATATTAAAAGCAAAACCCATTAAGCCAATAAAGTATAGGTAGAAGAGGCATTCAGCAGAAATAAAAAACTCGGAACAAGAGTAATTGAAATTTCCAAAGCATTGGTTTAGAGGTAACGTATGCATTGTACTCAGTGAGATTTCTGATACATAGTATGCGCTCGTTAAACCAAAGCCAATGTTTTGTTTTCTCTTTCCATCCCAGTCCAAACCTCTTACCAATTCTGTTGCTTTCTATGGTCCCACCATGTTGCCCCGGGACACTTACTGAGACAGAGGAGTGACAGTAGCTTGGGTATCATGGCAGCATGTCACTGTCAGCCTCTCCAACACCTTTCTTGGGTTGTACCATCTGCAGGTGAGCGAGGAACTGGGGTGGCCACAGCCTTGCCCTGTATCTAGAGTGTGGGAAGTAACGATTTTTCTGACTTTTTAGTTCCTCCTTCCACACTGCATTCTGAAAACGTTGGTGCTGCTGATTGCAATATATTCCTTACACACTGAGCTTCAAAGGCTTGGCTCACAGAAAGTCCTCATCTGTCTCAGATTTCCAGCATCAAATGTGTGGACCCCCGCCCCCTCCAAATGCCTGAGGCTTGAGCCTGAAGGGTTCTTCCTAGGAGATGAAGGTACTTCACTGTTGAGAATATTGGAAAATCCTGGACAGACACTCAGGTTGCTAGACATTGCCCACTGTCTTTTTTCTTTTAGATTTTATTTATTTATTTGAGACAGCGAGCGAGTGAGCGAGAGAGAGCATGGGGGGGAGGGGCAGAGGAAGAGGGAGAAGCAGGCTCCCTGCTGACCCTGGGATCATGACCTGAGCCAAGGGCAGATGCTTCACCGACTGAACCACCCAGACACCCCAACATTGCCCATTGTCTTAAGAGCTAAGGACTACAGCCAAATAGTTCCTTTTTTTTTTTTTTTAAGTAAACTCTATGCCCATTTTGGGTCTCAAAACTCACAACCCCGAGATCAGGAGTTGCATGCTCTAACGACTAGCCAGCCAGACACCCCACCAAATAGTTCTTTTACTAACTGTGCCAGTGAGGTTCAATTGCTAAAGCAGACTTGTAGAACCCAAGTATTGTGTGTTGCAGGAGAAGAATACAATATAACAGCTGTCTGGCATTAAACTGAGAGTGTGTACCCCAGGCAAAAAGGATCTCTCTCCTTTCACACAACTTCCTAGATGGACTTTCTGTCTTGAGTCAGGAGTCACTCCCAAAGCCCCTCAGATTCAGGAAACCTAAAACAGATCCTTGGCTGGGGTTTCTTATTCCATGACGGGCATGTGGCAGAGCCCTCTGGAGGGTCATCATTCCCATGTTTACCAGTAAATAATGCTGAGAAGCTGGCACCAAGCTCTCCAGGA